TTCATTTATTTTTTTGACAGAGAGAGATATAGCGAGAGCACGAACACAAGCAGGGGGAGCGGGACAGGGAGAAGCAGGCTTCCCGCAGAGCAGGGAGCCCGATGTGGGACTCGATCCCAGGACCCTGGGATCATGACCTGAGCCGAAGGCAGACGCTTAACGACTGAGCCACCCAGGCGCCCGAAAATTTCTTTTTCTAAATGAGGATACATTCTATCACGTTTGTGGCAAAAGAAAAGAGAATTCTTGATGAAGGAATCAGGGAAATTCAAGATCAGATCTGACTATTTTTTTCTCCTTGTGCCACTCCACATCAGATGGATCCTGAAAGAGTAAGACTGCTCAGCCTGCCACCACACTGAAGAGCCCAGACTGGTGCTGCAGGCGTGAGGGGACACTTTTAAAATGTTCACCTTCTCCCCTCCCATTCTGGCAGGTGCTTCTCCTTCTCCTTTGCTCTTATTAGTCTTACCTCTGATGCGACTACCTAATCCAGGTAAGCATTCTCCATCAATGTAAGTGCAGGCTTCCTCTAAAGGCTCTTGGTTAGGGTTTGCCAGCCAATGTAAGACAAACCATTGACATCGATTCAAGGGACCCACGGAGCTGAAAGTCATGGAGGAGTATTTGCTAGTTAGGGGAAGACTAACGGTACAACTAAGACACAACTAGTTCACCCAAAGGCTTTAAGGAGCCCATTTTCCAGTGTCACTTTTGCTGTAATGTACAATTGCCCCAAATAATGCAGGAATCAAAATGCCAAAAGGAATAAAGCCAGAATCTAGTGCAGAAGCTAAACAGACAGAATGCTCTGCAGTAACGTCCTCCGCCAGCCATTTAGCCTGGCTGGTTCATAAAACACTCCACTAAAATGTAATTCTTTTTAAACACTTAGATAGTTGTGTGTTTTTTTCTATTATAAAATTATTTAAGTCCATAAAATTGAGATGTCTTAAAAAGGGCGAAGTCTTTTCTTTATTCGCAATACCAAAATGTTGCATATATGCTGAGAGAAGAGAGTCCCTGGTCTTGTGAACAATTAGAACACAATGTGTTGTCCTCAAGGCAGTGTGTACATAGATCCTGTGCTAAAATCTTGTCTTAACCTCACAGACGCTCTCTCATTCCCACATCGTATCAATCAATAATCCTTGCTTGTTCTACTTCCAAATCTCTAATCAGATCCATGCCCTCCCCCTCCACCTCCGCTGCTTTAATTTGAGCTCTTATCATCTCCCACACAAACTATTCCAACAGCGTCCAACCAAAAACTCCTACTGATTGCTCCCGAGCCAGCTCAAATATCACCCCCTTGATGAAGATTTCCCAGCTCTCCATTCGTGATTAAATAACTCCACTCACTTTGCCCCAGTAGCTTTTGGTGCACACCACTCTTCCAACACAGGCTGCCCCCTACGGCGGGGCTGGCAAATACAAATATGCATGATATGTGTGGAATTTTCAATGTTCTAAGAACCTCACTAAAAAGGCAAAGAGAAATCAGTGAATGTTCATAATACATTTTATTTAACCAGATATATCCATAATCATTGATTCATATCATTTCAACATGTCATCCACACAAGAAATATAATAAGATAGTCTACGATTTTTCATATTAATTCTTAAAAATCCAAAGTGTATTTCACATTTATAGCATACTTTAAATTAGGTACTAAAGTTGTCATCAAAAATAACTGATCTGTATTTACCTGTCATAAAATTTATAGATGAAAAAAATAGATTCCCAGACCCACATTGTTTCAAATGTATACTTGAAAGTTTTATAATAACCGTATCAAATATCAACTTTCTAAAAAGGACTTGGGCCCTTTCTTTCTTTGTCATTGGCAAACGGTGTATTAGTTTCAGGTGTATGAAATAGGGATTTGACATTCCTACACACTGCAGAATGGCTACCACAGTAAGTCTAATCACCTACCACTTGTCACCTTACAAAGGTAATAGAATGTTTTTGACTACATGTCCCATGCTGTACATTACATTACCTTTTTATTTCACATCAAAGTAACATTTAAAAATCAGTCCCTCAGTCATTCTACCTACATGTCAAGTGCTCAACAGCCACACACAGCTAGTGGCTGTTACATTGGACAGCGTGGCCCTGCTGAAATTAGTGTATGTATCTGTCTTCCGAACTAAACCAGACCATGTCTAATTTACTACCTCCTCCCCATTGCCTAGTTTAAGGCCTGGCACGAAAACAGTGTTTTATGAAAGTTTGTTGACTAGATGCAGAAAAAGAGATGTGGAAGTCACTTGACTCTGTGACATTAAATCAAGAATGTCCTTTGTTAGGAATGTAAGTGGCATACAGAAGCACAGGCCTGCATGAAGACTCATTAAGCCTATGCACATTTGACTTGTTACTGATTGCTTTAATAATGAAAATTACTTCATACCTACTATTCCCCCTTTATCAGTGCCTGCACTGTTCTTTTCTCCTTCTGTTAACACATTCATGGGTATTCTTCACAATGAGCACTTTATAATATGCTTCCACATCCTCCAGTTACCTTCTCTACCTGCCTTGCCTTCTTAAATTATATTTTAAGCTGCTGGAGACAGACACCATTCCTTGTACTTTGTAACTATCATGGCTTAATGGCAATACACAAAGTACAAGAATTTAATATATGACATATAATCAATTCTCAGATGCATTCTTTTTCAGCGGAGCCTCTCCCCAATCAATTCTAGAAGCCCAGCCTCTCAGCACGCACATTCACACCCCAGTCTCTGGATAGCTGGGACCAGTGACGGCCCCACGCCATCAGTTCGTCTCTGCGTGCTGCAGTGTTTTACCCCCTAGGAGGGAGGATGATGTTTCCAGTCTTTGTTGCAATACCCCACATTACCTAATTGCTGTGCTGTCACCAAAATGGACCCTTCTGTTCTGTGCCCCGTGGGCACCCTGGTAGGACGGCTGAAGCTGAAACGGGCACAAGCCAGGGTGTGCCAGGGCACTCTGTGCAGGGGGTGCCCTGGCAGGCGGGCCGGAGCTGAGGCAGCATGCGGGCTGGGAGGTCCCTGAGCTCTCCGAGCAGAGGGGGCCCTGGCGGGATAGCTGAAACTAAAGTGGGGTGCCGGAGGGAAGGGCGCTGAGGGGACGGGCAAAATAGGTGACGGAGAGTGGGAGATAACAAGCTTCCAGTCAGGGGAATAAAGGCACCGCCTAGGGAATATAGATGGCAGCTACACTTGTGGTGAGCGTAGCATAAGGTATAAACTTGTCAAATCACTATGTTGTACACCTGAAACTAATGTAACATTTTGTGTCAACTATACTCAGATTTAAAAAAAAATTTTTTTTTTTAAATGGACCTTCTGTAGCTGTTGCTTCCTATCCCCATTTGCCACCTCCATCTCCCCTCGCCTGCCATGGGATTCCGCAACATATGACAGCAGAGAATCCTATAAGTGTACAGATCTCTTTGGTCTTGTTACTTACATCTCCCTCTTGACAAATAACTCTGATCAATTAATGCACAAGTAAATTTCGACAAAGGGAATTATAGTAGGTTTACCTTTTATTCTAATGTTGCTTGCATAACAACAAAATAAACATTAACACCAAGATGTCTCGGTGAATCAACTGTGGGGTTCCTCTAAGTCTGTGTTGGTGATCTCTCTCTTTTGCTTGGATAGTTCTGTGATCGCATCTATCTCTGCAGGAGTGAACTTGGGAGTTAGCGTCACAGCGTCATAATCAAATTCTTCATCAAGTGAGAAGGGCTGAACTTCATCTCCGAGTGTCTGTAAAAGGTAGAAGGAAAAAAATCCTATGATCATTGTAAATGAAGAAAAAGTTGAAAACATAAACTCCCTATTAATATTTAATTCAACTTTTTTTAGATTTCAGCACTCTCCGCTGATTAAGCTGTTTTTAAGTAAAGGAATAAATTCAATTATTCAATCTGACCTAATTTAAGTCTCTTAATATGCCCCATTTGTACCATCCTGCATCTGAATGAATATCATTAACTAATTCTGCCCACAGCAGGAATCAGAGAGTTTCTCTTGTACACATTCATTACATTTTTACCACGTGTAGTGTTAGGGCTCGAGGCATATGGAAAAACTGAGTTACATTAAAATGTGAGAAAATACACCTTGATATTTGATCAACCTTCAATACACCTTCACCATTTACTAAAAAAGTGACTTGTATCACTATAACAATTTTCAAAGATAAAAATACTCTACACTTAATGCACTTACTTCTTCAGATAATACCTATAGCTCCCCAGCCAGGAACAGTGGGAATTAAAACACACAGCATCACCTCAAAAAGTCCAGGATCTCTTTTTCCTCCCAAGAATTTAAAAAATATTACAGAATTTATCTACAAGTCAGAGTAGCTGCAAAGCGACGCAATAATTCTGTACCTATTTATTCATAATCTGTGAGTTTTAAAGACTTCCTAAAGGAAGGTAGATATTTTCCAATAAACAAAAAGAGAATATCTTAAATCACATTGTATTCACCCCTGAAAGAGCCTCTCTGAAAGCAAATGGTGTGTGATACAATGAAATTATCCGGCATCTCTATGTAGCTATATGATATGTGTGGTGATGCTAAAATAATTGAAAACTATGGTTTATGGAAGAATGAAAAAAAAAAATGCCCTGAAGCTATGATCAGCTTTAAACATTCTTGCATTCAAGATTATCTCATTGAGTGGATTTTGCAAAGTTCTTAAAAATAGACCATGTAGGGGCGCCTGGGTGGCTCAAATGGTTAAGCGTCTGCCTTCGGCTCAGGTCATGGTCCCAGGGTCCTGGGATCGAGCCCTGCATTGGGCTCTCTGCTCTGCGGGAAGCCTGCTTCTCCCTCTCCCTGCTTGTGTTCCCTCTCTTGCTGTGTCTCTCTCTGTCAAATAAATAAAATCTTTAAAAAAATTAAAAAAAAAATAGACCATGTAGCTGAGAAACTATGTGCTGTTATTAAGGGGGGGGGGGGCATGAAAAGTAGGTATCTCCTGTCTGTTTGGCAAGTTGCATCTTGCAGTTAGGTGTGCAGTGCTAATAGCAAACATGCAGCCATCTGCCATCCTTTCTAAGTAAAACCAGCAGGAGAACAGACGTCAGAGACTAGTTTATTTCCTCTTTATTTGAAACTGTCTTCGTGCTTTCCTGACAAAGGCAATGCGGGGAGCTGCCACTGAGTGAGCTCCCACCTCGTGTCGGCCCCAGGACAAGGAACGGTGTGGGCATCAGCGGTCATCTTCAAACAACCCCTCTTCTGGAGCTCTGAAAGGTTAAGTAACTGGCCTGAGGCTGTACAATGAGTAAGGGAGATAAGCAAGATTGGAATCCAGGGCAATCAGCTTCAGATAAAGCTTTACCTTCTCAACAAAAACACCAGCAAAAATCAACCTTGAGCTTTTCACTAAGCCAAGTCATAGATAGCTCTTGGGGAGAAAAGACCTTTTCTAAATAAGCTAAGTAATTCCCATAGCTTATCACAAAAAAACATATCCAAGGCTCCACGTAACACCATGACTGTCTTTAAAAGAGCAGCTGTACTCAGGAAGCCAATGTGCAGAGTAACCGATCTGTCCATTTTGGTCACTTTCTAAGATTAAATTTATTACCACAGTGAAAGTGACAGAGTGGTAAAATTGTCAAGAACAGCTCAGATGAGGACACATAAACAATAACACAATATGTTCGTTTCCTGAACATAAGCATCCTTGCCATCTCCATCTCTACTCAGTAGGAAGCACTGTGGCTGGCAGGCCTGGCCACACCCCATCTTGAGCTGATTCCAACAGATCCTGGGAGAGGACCAGAAGGAGTCCCCTCTCTACCAGTGCATCCGGTCTGACGGGATTCTTACTGCCCTTTTATGCCTGGTTCAAGGCCTGGCATCCACTTGTCGGCCAAGTTTCAGGCTGCAAGTACCCACGTGGGCCCACCGCACTAGGAATTTGACCCCCCACCCCCATCCGAAGGCCTCTCAAACCTTACCTACACCTTACCAGCCACTCACTAGATGCAGTCCCTTTGCTTTCACCCACCTCCTTTTGAGGCTGAGACAAATCTCTTTGCTGTGCTAAAATCCCAGTGATACCAGACCATCATCCTCACATTCCCTCTACACAACACAAACAACCCTCACATTCCCACCTCCTTCCCCTTTACTTGTTCACTCCATAAACATGTACTGAGTGTTTAACATGTATTAGATATGGGGAACACAAGGACGAAAATAGCAAAATCTGTGTCCACCAGGTTTCCTCACTTCAGGGAGAAGACAGAGTAAATGAACAGTTTCCACATCATGTGCCATGCTCTCCAATAGAGAAATGCAAAAAGGGATTGCAAAAGCACAGCAGGGATGTGCCGAAGCTTACTTTACCCTCAGCTAAGCATTGCCACTCTCCAGAAAATCCTACTTGCCTCCCCACTCAACACCCACTCATGACCCACCTTGTATTAGCAACCCAGACAAGAGTACAGCTTGTGTGTTGGACTTCCAGACTCTCTGATAAGGGCTCACTCCCATGGCCAACTTAGCTCTACATATGGCCCAACCCATCATGTCCTCATTCCTCTCCCTTGTCTGAGGTCCCAACATACCTTGCAGCCGTAATATCCAAATTATGGTACTAAAGTTGTAGAAGTTTATCCTTAAGTGGAAAAATCTTATTTTCCTTTAAGTTCTTTTTTTAATACACTTAAACTTTTCTCGGTTATGGAGTATGATTCCCTTCATCGGTCATTTGGTGTTAACCAAAACAATAGCAAGGAATAAAGTTTTTAGCTGGTCAATAAATTTTTTTTTAAAGATTTTATTTATTTATTTGACAGAGAGAGACACAGCGAGAGAGGGAACATAGCAGGGGGAGTGAGAGAGGGAGAAGCAGGCTTCCCGCTGAGCAGGGAGCCCGATGCGGGGCTCGATCCCAGGACCCTGGGACCATGACCTGAGCCGAAGGCAGACGCTTAATGACTGAGCCACCCAGGCGCCCCTAGCTGGTCAATAAATTTGATGCCAACACAAGAGTTACTCATTTATAATACACTCAGAGTTATAAAAAATATACCTAAAAATATAAATTTCTTCACTTGGAAACGGAATTATTAATGGCAGCTATTGTTAGATTAACTCCCTAGGCAACCAGTTCAATGCTGAACTATAAAAGCAAGAAACCAAGAATAGCAGTAATTTCATATTTGCAATGCCAAAATGTGATGATACTCAAGACATTTTAAACCATGTGGGGGTATCCCTGTAATGTGGCCAGTACATCCCTGATTCCAAATGTCAGAGGGGCAGCCTCCTGCAGTCATTCAGTTACTTTTCATTCTTTCCACAAACACTGTGTTCCTATGAAATTCTAGGCATTGTGCTAGGTGCTGAGGAGACAAAGATCAAGATTTGTCTGACATCATAGAGAAAGGAGATAGACATATAAACAAGTTAGTATAGTAAAATAGAGTAAGTACAAACAGTATAGTTAGGGGGTGATGGGAACAGAGAAGAGACACCTAACCCCACTCAGACTGTAAAGTACTGGAAAGGAATCAGAGAGGGCTTCCTGGGATAGGTGGTATCTAAGCAGAATCTTAAAGGATATTAGTTAACAAAGTTGAGGGAAGAAGAACTTTGCAGATAAGAGGAGTTCTAGTGAGCAGGCCAAGGAAATAAAATGCAAAGTTTCACGTGTGAGGATCTGCAAGTAGTTAAGTGTTAAGGTAGAGAGAAGCAAGAGAGAAAGATGGTGCCAGATCATGACGGTCTTATATGCTGTTTATCCTCGAGATGATGAGGTCACTGAAGGATTTTTTGAAAGGAAGGTAGATACTTGGTCATCTATGCATTTCAGGTAAATTCCTTCATTCATTCAAATTTTAACTGAGCACCTACAATGAGGCAGGCCCTGGACAGGTAGCTTTGTACAAAACAGAAAGATGCCCTACCTCTTGGAGATTACATCTACATCAGTTACTTGAAGAGTAAAAAGAGTAGATTTGGAGTCAGGGAGACTAGTTAGGAGCCTGCTGGAGCAGTCCAGGCAAGAGATAATGAGAACAGGGAGCTGAAAGCAGAGATGTGAAAATATCATAAAGTAAAATTGGCAGCACTTGATGACTGATTTGGATATGGAAAGGCAAGAATGTGTGAAGGGAAGCAGGTAAAGAAAGACAAGCTCAGTTTTGAACATGTTGATTTGAAGGTACCCAAAGGAATCCAGATATAGATAACAACAGGCAATTGAAAACAGGAACCTGAAGCTCTGAAAAAGATCTGAAGCTAGAGATATGGATTTGAACACAAGCAGAAAAGGTAGTAAGCTAGAGATGAAAGTGGATCCAATAAAGAAGATGTGGTATATATATATACAATGGAATATTATGCAGCCATCAAAAGGAATGAGATCTTGCCATTTGCAACGACGTGGATGGAACTGGAG